AGGCCCAAAAGGTCTCCTTCTTCAGACTGACGGCTTCCCTCACCGCCGGTGTCCACCAGCGACTTTTGGGGTTGCCGCCGCTAATAAAAGATTGCTGTATCACATCTAAAATCATATCTGTGTATTATTTTCGCCCCATCAGATGTCATGAACACATCCTGTTTAAATTAGTTTCGCTCTTTTAACAGGTAGAATAAACACAGATTATCATTTGTCTAAAGCAGCACTGACAGAGACTGACTCACAGTTTGCACATATGTGAAATACCAAATTCAAAGAGTGAAGTAGCTGAGACATGACGCAGACTCGAGAATATAAAAATGAATTTAATAGTAAAAAAAGTAAAACTCTTCCTTAACATGCTTTACTTTTGGCAATCCAAGGCAAGTAAAGCCATGACATTTAAGGTACATTTGGTGGATTACCAACTGACATGATGGCAAACTTTGTAACAGCCTCAGAGACAACAAAAATTAAGTACAACTTTGATTTATCTGTTCAGATTAAAACAAACAAAAAAACAGCATCAGTAGATAGCAAAACAGCACAGTCGATGTATTTTGTAATACATTACATATATTAATAAACCAAAGGAATGAGCAGTCATGGATCAGTTTTGGAACAATAAATAACAGTCTTACTGGTATATAACAAGTTGTCATCAAGTATAAGTGCAGTAATGGTGATATCTGATCACTCTAATAAAGAAATCTCTTTTAGAAAATGATGTAACATCAACAGGAATGAAAAACGTGTCTCAAATGCATATTTCTTCATATTGAAAACGCAAAATATCATGAACAGAGAACTCTGGTTTAGAGGAAGGAAACATGAACTTCTGTAACAAAGTAACAGGATCTCCTTCTGAATGTGCTTCGTCCAGTAAACCACAATGGAAATAATAAACATGTACTGCAGTCGCTCCTCGGTCATAGAGCAGCGATGGCTGTGAGTGTTTCAGTTCGCTGAAGGTCTCTGTCTGCAGCCAGCAGGTGGTCCGAGGAGCTCTCAGCCGGGTGGTCAGCGGAAACTTCAACAGGTTCTTCAGGTAAAGCCGAGTAGGTCGGGACAGCGTTGAACATGACGAAGCCCACAGTGATGACGACAAACGAGACGATGTACAGAGCTGAAAACTGAGGATGAGACACACAACAGAGGTGTTACTCAAACATTCAAGATTCTGTTCCAGTCTGAGTTCTTAATTTATTCCATGTCGCCATGTTAGTGGGTTTGAAAGGCATATTATCTTTAAAAAAAAAAAATCACTAAAATTAATATTTATCAGAGCAAGAAGCAGAAAAAATGCCAGATTTTTCAGTTTTCTTTAGTTTCATCAAGACAATTAACCAGATCTAAGCATAACAGTTTACATGACATTTTATCAAAATCACTTCTTTCTCCATGTCTTGTTTAAAAAAAACGCCAAAAAAAAAAACAATTGCCCCGAACAAAATCCGGAAAAAAAAAAAAAATCCGGGCCCCCCAACAAAAAGAAAAAAAAAATAACGAACTAAGTAAAAACAAAAACCAAGGGAAAAAAAATCAATGAACTTTTGGCCGAAACGCAAACCGGGGTTAAAAAAAACAAGAAAGGAGACAAGTATGGAAACAAATTGAACATGTAAAAAGTAAAATATCTCTAGTATGTGGAGACTCTTTTTTTTTTTCTAGTATTGGCAGCACATGTGGGCTCCTGGAAAAAAATGTTGTACATGTTGATTCCAGGGTTTTTCATTTTTTGTTAAATAAATATTTAAAGGAATGTAACTTTCATTTTTATGATTGATGGCATTATAACTGTCATACTGTACCATAGACATTGCTGAGTTCTCTCTCCTTCTCGTTGTGGTTGTGCTGTTTATATTTAGGTGCAGGACTTCATATTGAGGTGAAAAATGAGCCAGCAGTGAGTAAAAACACCCATAAATTGCTTTGGGTTGAAAGGGTGTAGGTGTTTTATTTTCCTGTTCTAAACACTCTAATATCAAAAAGACAAATTGTATAATCAGTCATGAATATTGTTTGTTATTTTTTCACTCTAGCAGGATCAAATGGATTCCCCACAACAGCCGCCTTTTTAAAAAAAATAATCAAATAATTTTCTTCCACTGCTGTGAGACTAAAGCAGCGCAAGACAATCCTTCTTATAATGATGGTTATTTTTTAGATTTCGAGACCAGCAAAAGTCAAGAAGGCCAGTCAACACAAATAAACTTGAAATTGCACTCACCGTGTAGCGGAAGAGGAAGAGGCCGCAGAAGAGGCTGAAGAGATCGGCGGTGAGCAGAGAGAGGTTGACTGCAGTCGCGCTGGTCATCTTCACCACCACGGGCATGAGGCTGTACAGCACAAACATACACAAGGCGTAGCTGGCGAACAGCATGGCTGCAGGATGCAATAAAAAGACCAGTGAGGGAGAGATTACGTTTCAGTACTGCCATCATTAATATCAAACATTCTGACCTGACGGATAAAAAAGTTTACTTACAAATGCAAAAATCCCACTTGATTGCTGCGACTGCATGAGTTTCCAGGACAGCGCTGCAATAAGAAGCAAAGGTAGAAGAATGAAGAACAACACAAAGGGTTTGGAGTTTTAGGTTCTGCATAAATTTTATTGTCCTATTGTGTATCTCAGGTTCTTTTTACATAAGACTAAACATGGTGCAATGTCCAGAACAGACAGTATTTTTGCTTCTTTATAGACTTCCCAATGCTTTGTTAAACACACAAAGTTCACAGTTTTTTGACTCACAATTATATAATGAACATGATGTAGCTGCTGCATTTTAAATGGAAATGCTCCAATTCGGCATCAATAGAAAGCACAAAGTCTTACAGTTCAAATGGTGTAAACTAGGGATGCACGATATATCACCAACCGCATCGGTATCGGCCGATGAACAAATTTAGCCGATGTGAAAAACCGATGATTGTCTAACATTAAGCGCCTTCGTCTCTACATTTGATATCGCTGCTATTTCACAGATGTTTTTACTTAAATGGTCCTGGACTTTAATGTTAAATACGTTAAAATATGTTTACATATACTTTACTTTTGTTATGTAATAAAGAAGACTATGTGGTCTAATTTGGTATGGGCTTCTTTTGAATAGTTTTCACGTTCTCACAGTGCTTACTTATACTTATTTTTTGGTGTAAACAAAAATTGAATATCGACACCGGTAATATCGGTTATCTGCGATATCAGAAATCTTAATATCGGTACTGGCCAGAAATTTCAATATCGTGCATCATTAGTGTAAACAAGTTTAACATCCAAACACAACACCAATGACAGGTTGTTATTTTAAATGAGAGAACATAAAAAGCCAAACTGTCATTTCTTACCTTCTCTGTCACCTTTAGCAGTGCATACTTGTTAAATAATTATGTGGTGTTTTATATTTTCACATTAAGAGTCTAACGAACAAAAGGCTTTCGAGCTTTATTAAAAAGAGGGTGGGACTAAAATGTGCTTAAGCTTAAGACAGCAGCAGAATTTATCTGCATGTCTCCAAAGCAAGAGGAATATTAACAAAAAAGTGACCCATGTCTGAGTAAAAAAAGAGTTTTAGATTCAGCTGGACAGAATTCCAAGTGAATCTTTTTGGCATCATGCAAGTTAGAAAAAAAAAAAAAAAAAAAGTCCTCACGAAACTTTTATATTGCACCAATGCACAAAACAAAGTAATGTTCCTTGCAAGTTTATGTATAAGATATCTGCAAATTGAAATAATGGAATTCATTTTGCTGCATTAGTTACATTATTGAAACTGTTTTTCTCCTGGTTTTAAATAAACTAAACAAAAAAAAAAGAATGCAAACACACAGCCCTCTCTTGACTTAAAGTTGCTTCTTACTATTGTCTTCAGCTCCTTGTATAGCTCATGTGTCAGACAGAAGCTCAGAGTAGATCCACGATGCAGCACTGACTGCTTTACAGACATCTGATAAATTAATGTATAAACTGATGTCTTTATGTGATACAGCAAAGTGCTTTTTCTGTTTTTTCTTGCTTCTCGAGTCTGTTTCAGGCATGTGGCTGTGATGGGTGAGAACTGGTGTAACAAAGATGATAAAAACAAGGAGATTAAAGCAATAACTTACAGCTGAATGCCACTGATGACAGTCCCAAAGAGTCCCATCATGCCCAGGAATTCAACACGACTCAGGTTCTTCACTGTGTGCTCCTGACACATGTTTGATACAGCATAGAGGACGGCACTCAGCAGGACCAGACCATCGCCCAGCACCAAATCACTGTCTATACAAAGAAACAAGACAGTTACACGTTTTACAACAACAATAATACTAAATCATGCAGGGGCATCCAATCAAGAAGTATGATATTTTCCAAAATGATGAAAACTGTAAATCATGAAAACTCTAGCAAAGGATAACTCTTGTTGCTTTTATTCAGCTTTAAATTGAACAGGGCCTGTCAGCTGTTTAAGTACAAGATGTCACTTCAATAGCAAACTGTGAAAAATGTATACAACTGTATGTATAAACTGAAATTTAGAGCAACATTAAACCCTTTGAACACCAAAAAACCTGCTGGTGGGTTTAAAAGGCATGCTGTTTACAAAAATGGCCAAAATTTTCAACAGCCCTTGAACTAATCATGTTTGGCTTTAAGGTTTGTTGGGCAAATTATCCAAATTTAAGCTTAAAATCACGTTTTATCAAAATTGCTGAATTCTACACATCTCATTTAAAATTTTGCCAAAAATATAAAAAATTAACCAGTTTCTTTAACCGCATTGTGTTAAAAAAAAAAACCACACACACACACACACAAAAAATTCTGCACTCAGCACAACCAACAAATCACTAATGGCTCAGCTGCGATCAACGGTCTTGTCACAAAAATTGGCTGACTTTTCAGCTGAACTGGGCTGAACTGCAGCCTGCGTTTAAGCAGTTTACAGTTCAAACTTGGACAGGTAGAGAAACAAACTAAAAATAGAAACATTCAATTATCTACATCAGGTAGAGTCACCATTTCTTTCCAGTATTTGTATCATGTGTGGGCACTTGGAAAAATGCTGTGCATGTGGATTCCAGTTTTATTCAATTGTTGTAAATAATCAAGGAAAATCACCATTTTTTTCCCCTTTTCACCAATTTTTTAAAAAGATATTGTAAATGTCACAGTGGAAACAAGACAGTTTGGAGTTCTCTCTACTTCCAGTCATGGTTGTGCTGTATCCATAGAGCTGCAGGACTTTATACTGTATTGCAGAGAAAAATTAGCCAACCAAATATAGCAGAACTGGTTGGAATTTAGAGGGTGAAGTCCAAGACATAAACTCATTTTGAAGCACCTAAAAATGTCTGTAGAAAAAAAAGTGTCTGTAGAAACTTAAATGCAGAGCAACATTTAAGGATAAAAGTTTCAGCATCTTTCCATCAACCTTCACAGATGCAATGGTGATTTTTTTACTAGAAAAGCACATTGTTTTATACTTGAATTTAGTGCCGCTCAAGATTGAGTGCTTTAAACTGCTGTTAAATTTAACATGAAGAACAAGGACTTGTCCTTACTGGATCCTGGGTTTCTTCCAGCCAGAATGTCGGCTCCCACCATGGCCCCCACACCCAGCAGACACACCATCACGGCTACGAAGTGCACCGGCTTGTAGCGGGTCTTCAGAAAGAACCAGGAAAGCAGCATCAGCACCGGGATCACGAAGCAGTCCAGCAGCTGAAACAAACGGAGACAAGACGGGTGTTTTACTGGCTGATGGAGGGTAGAGTAGGAAAGGGATGTCACACAACAGGTACCAGAAGTGTTTGGCATTAAGGCAACAACTGCAGATCGTCACAGTTCAACAAATTTAAACTACATTGTTCTCCACATAATAAATCCCAGTTTGACAGAGTCAGACAGTGCTGCTGCTATCTGAAGACAAAATTCTATTTTACTGTCATACAGTGGACACTTTTAAAGCAGTTCACTACATATTTTTGGGATATTATGTGAATAGGTGTCAGAAAAATTGCTTAATTTTTGCAAATATCATTATATTTAACATTTAGCCCGACATACACACATGATGTAACACTCCTATAATAAGATCAACATGGTGTGAAGTGCTGACAGTTTCCTCGTACCTGTATACTGGTCAGAGTGGTGAACTGGTATGCCTTCACGACGGCATAGTTTGCCTCCACATCTGCCACACCCATCACCAAATACTTCCACCACTTGTTTTTTAAAATCTGCAAGATGTTCCTGTCACCTGCAAAAACAGACACAAAAGCTAACTTCAGAAACTCATTAAATGCTAGTTTTCAGATGTTTTTGTGAGAATATTAACAAACAGAGAATATAATTTTTTACAATAATTTCTTTTCACCTGAATCAAGTGTATATTAGGGATAAACCGATTATCGTGGCCGATATTTGTCATTTTTATGATTATCTGTATTTTATTGACCGATTATTGATAAATTGAATACGCTGCTTCAGGTCTGATTCAGCCTCCTGTCTCTGTCTGTCGTCACTCTGTGGTCTCTCTCTCAAGCAGAGACTGCAAAAAAATGAATTAGAAACACAAGCTGTTGCCAAAAAATCAGAAAATTAGCTCCTCTCACTGTGGCTAAAGCTATGCTAACGACTAGTGGATAAGTTAGAAAGCAGCCACAGATTAACCTGAAACAGAGTCTGGAAAACAATAATTAATAATACTTTAAGATTTGGACTTGAGTGGGCAATGAAAGTGACAGATCAATCTCAATTGATCCCATGTAAACAGAGGAGAGCGTCTTAATTTAATCCTATTTCTATCTTAGATATGCAGTTAGAGTGGGCTGCAGTTGGTTAGCACTGTTGTCTCGCAGCAAGAAGGTCACCGGTTTGCGTCCCGGTGGGGGCACCGGAATCTTTCTGCGTGGAGTTTGCATGTTCTCCCCGTGCTCCAGCCCCCCCACGACCCTAGTGAGGATTAAGCGGTGTATAGATGATGGATGGATATTCAGTTAGAGTCACCTTTATTATTAAAGAGGCTAGTTATGTATGACAGCTTCCCTGCTATCAAATGCTGTTAAAATATTACATCTATTGTTCCAAATATCGGTTATCGGCCCTTCTTGATAACCAATGATTGGCATCGGCATAGCCCACCCACAAAAACAAAAAAAACATATTGGCCAACCCCATGTGTACATTTATGGTGACTATAATTTACAAATTAACCATAAATGTGCAAATGCAACAATGACGACATTTATTTCTCATTATCCTGTCTCAATGAATGACAGCCTGAGTGAGCAGCAGTCTGACCTTTGCGGGTGACGAGGACCGTGGTGTAGATGAGCAGCAGCAGGGCGTAGTTCAGGAAGCTCTGCAGCATGGGAGTCTCCACCTTCGCATTGGCCAGGTACTCACAGCTCACCGCCGTCCCGCAGATGAGCAGGGACAGGAACTGCCCCATGATGATGGTCTTCAGCAGACGCCTGGAGAGTCGGCAGCAACATCATGAGTCAGTACACAAACACAAAAGGTTTACTCTGGATCATGAAGGTGCTGTTAAAGAAGAAGGAGCTCAGTCTGAAGGCAAAGCTCCAGCTTTATAAGCTCCAAGTGCTCATCTGTGATTGCGCGTTCTAATTGAAAAAATAAGTTCACCGATACAAGCCATCCAAATTCATTCATGTGTCTGGTTTTGAATTTGAGACATAAGGAATGAGACAAATAATGTTGAACTTCTCCTCAAACTGAAGTCATCTCAAAAAACACAAACTTTGATTTTGTCACCTTTTGAAAAGCTAATCAAAAAATAGAGTTTAATTCAATTCAATTCGATTTTATTTGTATAGCGCATATTTACAACAAGTCATCTCATAGCGCTTCACAAAGGCAAAGACAGAAACACCCAACAATCCAAAACATTTGGATTCCCTATAAGCTTCAGCAGTCCGCAAGCAGTCCACAACAGTGGGAAGGAACCGAAAACCCCCACAGGGGAAAAAAAAAACCCCACAGGTGAAAAACTTTATCTAAAAGCACATCCGACAATACTTCAATCGATGACCAAATTTTAGGCCCACCTGCTGCACGAGAGTACATAGGACGGCAATGACACATGCAGCAATGACACATGTTGCCAATTCTGATTGACTATTCACCGTTTTGTTGCCCACAAGTACCAATGAAGTTCCATGTTGCCTCAAAAGAAGTAATTCTAGATTTCAAAGTTCTAAAGTTATGCACGTTCAGTAACAATCTCACTTGCTGCAGTAGGTTTTATTTTGCCTGCAACTATACATGACACTTTCAATTAAAATATACAACAAGACTTAAGATTGAATTGATTTTCATTATTGTGATCCTGTGTGTGTGGAATTTGTTCTCACTTTCCTCTCACAAATAAGACGTTGATCTCAAGGATAAGACGTACCTGTTCTTTTTAAAACTCGATTCACGTATAGATTGACACCCTGACTTGATCTTTTATTGTGCTGTAACTTTTAATGTTTATTGTTTTATTATCTTTTATTATTCACATTTATCTTTTAGCTATGGTATTTTATTGTGTTTTATGGCCATCTATCTTGATTTTACAGCGCTTTGGCTCAACTCTTGTTTATAAATGTGCTTTACAAATAAAGTTGACTTTCACTGCAGCTTTGACTAAATAAAACCTAGCTGACTAGCCTAATCCACCGTGCAGAGCTGTCTAATGCTTGACCATCTTATCTGCAATAAATTCAGAATAATTAAGACTTGTTTTCCTCCTGTGAGAACTCGACAGTTATGTGTGAAATCAGTTTTCTCATTTTATCTTAAAAAGTGAGGGAAGTTTTTCACAATGCAAAAAGAAATTTGCAAAAAAAAAAAATGGCAAAAACAATAAATGTTACTAATTCCAGACATGACAGGAGCATCACATAGGTTCTGGATAGTTGCAGGTTAGTCTCTTGCCTCCTTCACAACACTGTTAACAAACCATAAAATAAGAGCCGTGTTAAGAGTGTTACTATGGAAACAGGAGTCCAGGTATGGATTGGCTAACTGGTGAGGCTTAAACTAAGTGATGTGTTATCTTTATGAAATTGTCCAAATGTCCCCACTGCAAATGTAAGACTGGCCTTACACCTAACACCATACTGTGTTTGAGTGTGTAATTGGACCTGATCACTGTGTCAAATGTTTGCATACATGCAGGCTCACTGTAAATGCTCACAGGGACACACCAAATATTTCTTTTACTTGTACTTTTCCTGCTGTGGTAAGTGAAAATGTCTTCCACAAACAAGCTATATAGCACTTAGCAGTAGTTCAACAATTTAGAAATCCCACAGGAACAATATACAATGTATTTTTATCCTTTAAAGCCCAAAATAACTTACCTTTAGACAGACTCATCTAAATGTGAATCATGTTATAAAGTAGAAGACAACATAACAATTTCCAATAAACATATTAATTTACAATAAACCTTTCTGGAGCGAAAAAAAAAAAGGTAGGGGGGGGCATATGTGACAGCTTTTCAATGTATACACATACATCTGATAGGGCTGCTTTTATAACTTAATACGTGGGGAAATAGTTTTTCAAATCTAACAAAATTATCTGCAGAAATGTTACAGAAATGTGTCCTCAGTTAAACCTCAGATACAGCGACCTCTAGTGACGATCAGATTTTTTTTTAATCACACACAGTAACTGACTTTAAACTACACAGCAGAAAGCTTTATACTGTGCTTCAGTACCGAAAAATAAACCATCAACACATTTTGAACTGAACTTTGTGATGATGTATCTGCCAAACAGCAAAGCAGCCCTAATGTAATGTAACTACCACATACCATACAATAACTGAAAATGACACTGATTCTTTTCCAGACAGCTGGATTGATGCTCACCATGTGAAGACGTCTCTCAGGTTGTAGCTGTACAAACCACAGGCGATCCTCCATTTCCTACACATTCTGTCCTCCTCAGGTCCCTCCATGTCTGTGAGAATTAAACCTAGAAAGACCTAGGGAGCAGGAAAGATTAAACCTGTAGAAAAAAATCAAGAATTAGTGTCTGTGAAATTTAGTATCTTCAAACTATTCATGCAGAACATGGTGCAAAATCTCCACAGGAATGTGATGTGTCTCATGAAATGATTCTCATTCAGATCCTCGGATAGATGGGTACATGTACAACTACTGTATATAAAGGAACACAAGTTGGTCCTAATAATATAAATAACAACCTTATTTATATAGCAACTTTTAAAAATAGAGTTTACAAGGTGCTTTCACAGACAACAACTAAAAAAAAAAGGAGGATACTTAAGCCAGTCAGAACAAAAAATCTCAAAAAACAGAGAAATAGAATTCGGAATTAGTGTACATTAGAGGTGTTGGGGTAAACACATGGGCTAGTTTCAATATTTCAATTTCATTACTGAGGGCACATGCATTTAGGAATTTGGTTTTAAAAAGTCCTTGTAAAGTTAAACTAAAGAAGAATAAATGCTTGATAGCCAACCCCTTACTGCACTATATTCCATTATCTTTTAAATTGCCACCTTGTGCCTGAAATGTAAGCCTTTTTTTTTATATTCATATTTTCCACTATGCAGAAAAGGAAGAAATTGGGGCATAAAAATAATCACCAGAATTCAGGTAATGATGTGGGTTAACAGGTAACCACGACAATCCACACTTACATTAGCTATAACCCGATTTTTTTTCTTTCTTTTTTTTATAGCCCCTAATGATTTGTAATATGTGTTTAAATCCGTTTTTATCAGAATTGAAAAACTGGCAATAACTACAAACATGTTAAAACTGTCACTTTTTCCATGCAGTCTGGTGTACGTTTCTCACGCGCCACTGTCATTCATCGGGCTTTCCCCACTAAACCACCAACAGCTAAATAATAACGATCACGCTATATATATTCATACGTACGTTCTGCTCTTCAGTCATGTCATGACAGATATGCGGACGATTTCCAGCTGTGATAAAATGTCATATTTCTCAAATCCGCATCATGTCAGAATCCACGAGGAGCTACTTCTTAACCGAGATAAATCGGTCTAACTTCGTGGTCCTTAGTCCCACCTCGTGCGCTGTGATTGGTTGAAGAGAAGCTGATTGACGTGCGCACTGTGCAGTCAAACTTGGTGTGATGCTGATGAAAGGCAACATATTTTACTCCCCATAATATGCTCATTTAACTACAGTATTTCAGTATTTCACTTGAGTAGTTCCATTTTATGTCACTTCCTATTTCTTTTCCACAACATTTCATAGTTTTTGATACTCATGCAAGACATCTCACAGGTTAATGTATCCTGTATGTAGATATATAGATTAATTACTGGAAAGACTTAAAGAACTACAAAGAGACACAAAAAGATGCGCAATAATCATGAACACACATAAAACAACTGTGGATAGAAGCGACAAGAAATAATTGCAAAAGACAAAAAAGAGACAATAAAACTGAACAACCACAGAGAAACTTAAATGGACCACAAAAGTCAATAAACCACAACAAGAAAAAGAACAACCACTCCAAGTAGCAAAACAACCACAAGGAAACAAACAGTGATGCAAAGTGACATACAACAACAACAAAAAAATATTTTTAATTCAATTCAATTCAATTCAATTAATTTTATTTGTATAGCGCATATTTACAACAACAAGTCATCTCATAGCGTTTAACAAAAGAAGCGAAAAGTAACCATAACAGGAAAGAAACATCTGTTAAAAGGAACATAATAGCCACAAGTAGAAAGAACAGTGATGCGAAGAAGGAGGCAAACACACAGAATAGCAATGCAACGTAACCTTCCTTGTGTCAATATACAATCAGTTCTTTGGACTCTTAATGTTTTTGTCTTATAGCTAGAAATATATTTATACATGTACATTTACCCTGGGACATAATTTCCCTGCAGTGCACAAAGCAGTTAAAATTATCTGCACTTAGCTTCTTTTGTAATTGTAAAACTTACACATTAATACGTCACTAATAAAAAACCCAAAATATAATATGTGCTTTAACGATTTAAGTGTTAAGTTTTGGTGTTTTGGTTTACTTAAGACTAATTTAATGTGGGACTTTCATTTGCACCACTCCTCATCAATGCTCTATCATTTAAACAGTTCTATACTTGAAAGTATTTTATAAGCATTTCTATAAAGTAACTAAATAAATGTACTCAAGTAGTATAAATGTGTACAATTTTGTACTATCATAGTTATGTATTTCCATTTTATGCTAACACATTCTCCTTTACCGCATTTTAGAGAGCTCCATTGTACTTTTACCCCATTACATCTTTTCCTTTTATTTAGTGGATTTTGCTGGAAACACTTTGTGCTTCATCTCAAATAAAAGTGTGAATGCAGGACTTTTACTTCTAAAGAAGTATTTGCTACTTTTACTTGGATAGTGTTTCTTCCACCACTGATTAGAAATAAGTACGACGATTTCAATGTATTAATTAAAACAGATTTTGTATCAACACAAGCAAATATAGTTCAAAATGTTGCTGAATGTTCAAGTAGCTTTAAATTTCTCTAAGCATTTTTTTTGCTTCCACATTTTAACCTTCAGAAGGGCCTTGTCTGCTGTGAAACCACCGCAGATTGTCAAACTGACCCTTGTTGTTCTTGTACGAAGGTTAAAATCTATCTTTCTTGCGTGAGAAAGGATTTGACTAAGATTGTGAGACCATGAAAGAATGATAACAAAAACCTCACTGAAACTGAAACAATAGCTGCCCCTGAGGCTGCACAAACGTTGTTTTCTTATCTCGAGTTCTGCTCCCACTGTTCTACATGTGGCGAAAGTTGTCTGTTTCTGTCCCTCGCTGACTTTTACGAGACAGGACTCAAAGTGGACTAAAGGTCACTCAAAGATAGATATGAGGTCAAATGTTGGAAGAGCAAAGCAGTTCTGGGTTCAGTGATGGCCTCAGAATACTTATCATCTTTGATGCAGCTGCACTGGTAGCAGTAATATAGTATCAGTAGTAGCAGTAGGGTTTCATGTTGTACTGTCAGTATTTCTTGTAATTTTTGTGGTAGACTCCTTGTAGCAGTAGCATTCTCTTAAAAATAAATAACTTAATTAAGGGGAATAAGAAGTTTAGTAAGAGGACAAAAAGAACAAGAGAATGGTAAAAACATGTGTGTTTATCTTTTAGAGGAATTTAGAGGGCCAAGAATAGAATCTAGAATCACATAGGAAAGAATAGAGGTTTATCGTCCACCAGATGGACAACTGTCCTCGGATCATCAAAACATAAAAGCAGCAACACAAGAACATTTGTCGTGGAAAGAGTTTAGTACTCAATCAATCATTGAAACATTTAAAAAAAAACAAATAACAACAACAAAACACACACACACACACACACACACACACACACACACACACATTTAATAGTCACACATAGTATGCTGCAAAGGTTGATTCCAGTACTGAGTGTGGTATGCTTTCCTGGGAACTATAGAAAAATTAATAATGTTTAATTTGCTGCAGATAATATTTAATTCTGCTTAACTTAGACCTGTTGTCCTCATTAGAAAACACTTTACGTATCATCTAAATGGTAGCAAAAGTGGACTAATTGCTGTATAAATAAGGTGCCAGCAACCACCAACAAAACTGAGATAAAAGTGGAAAAAGACAAAAACCGTAACCAGATTTTATGGCAGAAATTTGTTCATCGTTCTTAAAAATGTTGGTAGTTTGATGTGGGAGACAACTTTGACAATTTTACCAAAAAAATAAAAAATTCCAATTAATTCCAAACAGCAAGGAAAACATAAAATTGCACACCTAATTACAGTTCATTGTGTTCATAGGCTATAAGATTTGTTGCCCCCACTATCTGTTTGAATAAACGAAGGAATAAAGGCAAATGAAAGAAAAATATGAACAAATTTAGTGTTTGCAAGAAATATTGGGACGATAAAAATGAGCAAAGTTGTAGGCTACATGATTAAGAAAATAAATTAATTTTAAAAAGCCAAAATGTGAACAAGTATGTTACAGTCTGTATTGAATAGATCTTCTAAAAGAAAACAGTTTCGTTTATTTATTTATTTTTTTCAAAATTTTATACAAATAAATTAATGCAAGCAGCTTTGATTTAGGCAGCTTAATCATTCATTTTTATATAGATATTTTTAAAATGTATTTAATTGAATGACGAAACGCTGCACATTTTCAGAAAGTGATGTGATCAAGTTAATCTTCAGCCGCCCTGTAGTTCACGCGAGATTTTACGAGAGGATAAGTTGAGGGAACATGGCGACGTCTAATTTGCTAAAGGTAGGAGGCACTTCAATTCAATTATTTGCATTTAACACCCGCTGGAGCGCTTGTCATTTGTGTGCTGTGATGTTGGCGTTTAGCTCCGACCTTAACGAACAGCACATCGCACCTTCACACGAGCGTAATGTCAGTGTTGACTTTAGCTGGGAGCATTTAAGTTGCATCTGGCTAACATTAGCTACTTTTCAGTGATTTAGCTGCTAAATAGAATAGCCACAACAGAGCTAAACGTGAAGGGAAAAGGCAGACACGGGGGAGCCAGGGAGTCACAGAGGCACGTAACCGATAGGAAACGTTTCGTTAGCTTAACCTGTGCTAAAATATGAGCATAGCTTGTGTGTGCACGTTAGCTACAAATCCCTATATCATCTGTCAGTCAGTGAATCTGCAGCTGATCAGCCCCTTGAAAGACTCGCTACAGACTGCCAAAATAAACTGTCGGAGTAGTTTCTGTGCACTTAATCCTCTGCTGATGACTTGCTATTAAAGCTTAGCTTGTCAGGAATCTATGGCACTGTGTCTAATTCAATGGTAATTCATATCGTCAGGCACAGGTACAGAGGGAAGGTAGCACGCTACTGTTACTGGCTAGAGCTATATGTCTGTTAAAGAAAAGTGACATTGGGGTCTAAGCATTAGCAGTCTTTTGCAGGAAATATTAAAACTGTATATACAGTGTGGACACAGTGTGAACAATCTGCCAAAGGTGCCTGTGCAGGTACGTCTCCTGTGCTGAAACACTACCTAATATATGTTAGTTTGTGTTAGTATCATCAAACACAACTTTATTTAGGAATATATATCATTTGAGGACAGCATGAACTACAGTAATAAAGTTATTTAAACAACAGCTTGTGACATGGAACTTCCACACAACAAGGCCAGGTAATTGGAAAATAGTACCTAACCTTAGTTAGCCTTAATGTCATTTTATCTGCACTGTTGCATACCAGTGCTGTATCAATTACTGAGCAGTCTAAATAGCACACTGTGTGTACAGTATGGCCATAGGCTGATTAAGCTTTATAGAGTCCTTTGTGCAAAATTTGCTGTAAACAATATGCCCAGTTCTGTATGTCCTGTGCAACCATGCCTCATTTGCTGAAACATGACTTAATATGTTTCCGACTGTATTCATTTGATTAAACTTTATTTAGGAATATCCCCATGTAAGGACAGCATTAACTACAGTAGTCAAGCAAACCTCCATAAAACAGCGACAGATAAGCAGCAAATAATAAACAACCCACCTTATTTGATATTGTACTGTAGTGGTTCAAATTACCAACATGTTCATAAAGAAAAACAGGCAGTTGCCCTCTTTGCCTGGTTGGTAATCTAACCTTAATGTAATTTCATCTGCACAGCTGCCATGCCTTCATGCATCAATCACTGTCCCACCTCTGATCACACATTTATAAATAGTCCTAATAGTATAGTATGTAAACATTATGGACATGGGCTGATTGACCTAGGGTCCTATGTGCAAAAATGTGCTCTTCTGTATGGCAGCTGCAGCCTTGCTTCCTGTGCAGAAACACTGCTTCACATATGATAATTTAATCTGAATAAACACTATTTTATTTAGGAATACCTGCAATGTGAAGAAAACATCAACTAAAACAATAAAGAATTTTTAAACTACAGTTAAACACAGGAACCTCCCCAAAAATGACTGCCAACTGAGATATTATATTGTTGTGGTGCAAATAAATCAACGTGTTCTTAAGTAATCAAATGACCAAACCAGACAGTTGCCCGCTTTACTTGTTTGGTAGTCTGACCTTAACCTTGATGTACCATGCTCTGGGCCATAAATCACTGACAACTGATCACTAGTGCTTCAACTAAACATTAATTTTATTTTTGACTAATCAGTCAGTTATTTTCTTGAATAAATGCTAAGTTGTTTGGTCAATACCATACCAGATAATGGTTCTAAAAAAAAAATAAAAAAAAAAAGCAAACCGGGGCCCCAAAAGACCTAAGGGGATGTTCTCAAATGTCTTCTTTTGTCCATAACATGAAGATATTCAGTTTACTGTCACAGATATTTCAACTTAAGTAGCTGGCATCAGAAAATTTTGGCTGTTTTATTTTTTATTTAAAATGACTCAAACCATTTAATCGATTGTCAAAATAGTAGGGGATATAATTTAATAGTTGCCACTTTCTGATTAATAAAATAATCATTGTAGCTCTCCTGATTACACCTTTGTAAAAAGTCCTTTCATTTTAATATCTGATAGAGATAGGTCTACCTTGGTTTCTGGTACGCTCAGATTCGATGTGAGGAGAAGCTGGGACTGTCTTTTTGAGCTCACCACCACAGCTGATTTTCTCCCTGCTTATCTTCATTTATTTCCTCTGTGACAGTAAAATGTGTTTGTGGAGCCTTCAGAATCCTCTGCAGGTTAAACGTAGCTGATCAAACACTTTGAGTGCTGATAAACTCTTGAAGACTCAATATGAATTGACTGAAAGCTCTTGCCAGCCTAGGAACATTAAGGCTACAAATAAGACTTGCAAACTCTCCATTCAGCAACAATATCTGAACATCTGATTGTCTAGTCCCTTAATATGTGAACATCACCACTGTTATGCTAACCAATATGTTACGCTTTGTTACTGAAGCAGTGGATAAATGTTGCTTAGGTGTTGCATGAAAATGTTTAGGTACTGTGCCTAAATGTTGAAATGTTAAGAAAACTCTGCTTATCTTAGCTCTGTTTGACAGATGTGTTGCAATTTCATACAACATAGTAGCCACTGTCGCTATTTATTAGATTCTGTTCATACTTTTAACATCATACTGATTAGTCATTGTTGCTTCACTTTCTGTACATTAGTATATTTCTGTAATGGCACAGTTTTTGTCCTTCTCTCCATGTCACTACTGCACTGTTCTGATATTCATTCTGCACTTCAGTTAATCTTTATTTATCTCTGCGTGTTCTGTTGCTGCAACTTGCACTATCTGGTTAAACTGAATTTTGAACTGCTTTTTTGTTTTACTCTTACTTAGCTGGGGCTGCAGGGTGGCGCAGTTGGTTAGCACTGTTGCGTCGCAGCAAGAAGGTTGCCAGTTCGCGTCCTGGTGGGGGCACCGGAATCTTTCTGCGTGGAGTTTGCATGTTCTCCCCCCAGGTTCTCCGGCTTCCTCCCACACAGTCCAAAAACATGTTGAGGTTAATTGGTGATTCTAAATTGTCTGTAGGTGTGAATGTGAGTGTGCTTGGTTGTCTGTCTCTAAGTGTAGTCAGCTGGGATAGACTCCAGCCCCCCCGCGACCCTAGTGAGGATTAAGCGGTGTATAGATAATGGATGGATGGATGGATGTTACTTAGCTGAATCTAATGTACGGTGTTTAAAGTTTTGTACTATAATCGGTATAGGTACATTATACTTTGAGAAACAATAGGCAGATATTCTCCTGGCAGAATCAACTTGACAGAACAGTTAAATTGATATTTTTTGTTTCCCTTCTTCCTTGTGGTATGTTTTTGGCAGTTGCGTTGTCCATTATGGAACACTGTGTACATCAATGGCACACTCAAAAATCAAAAGGGGTTTTGGTATTGATTTTTCTAGTGTGAGCACTGTTTGTACTAAAACATGTTTAAGATAAGAGTGTGTAGTGTGGAACTGGAACGCAGTTGTTGTTATTTACCCGGCAGAGAGGGGTGTATGAAAAATTGCTTTTTAGGATGTGTATGTTCTGGGCTTTTGGAACTTGAATCGTACTAGGGACTCAAAGTCAGGATGTCTTTGCTTCTGTAGCATCAGTTTTAGTCTGTTGTAAATCCTAACAACTTATTAATGGAATGTGAACTTTTAAATATTAGTTTGACTTTTATTACGGTGTATAACAGTGACAGTTCTTCAGGTTTTCTGACAATAATTTTCTCAACTGAATGATTATTGTTTTTGTTGATGAATATTATAGAACACAAATGTTTCATTATTATTGCTATCAGCCCTTTTCTTAGCACAGGTAAGGTTCCACTAATGGGATCCAATCTGAGCCATGCAAACTGCAATAATTAATTTGGCAATGATTTAATAATCCTATGATCACTTTTAGGCAAAAATGGCAAACATTTGTGGTTTTCAGCTTCGTCTTTCTTTTCAAACATGACATTAAAGTGAATATCTTCAGGTTTTGGGGGGTTGTTCAGCAATGCAAGACACCTAAAGTTAACACCTTAAGCATATTTTAGCTTTTTCTGACATTTTATAGACAAAATGAATAATGGCTTAATAAAAAGAAAAAAGAAGCAGATTAATTGATAATGAAAATAATCATTAAGCTGCAGTTGCTTTTATGGTATTTAATAACTTTTACTTTTTGTGCTATAACAAGTCAAAATGTCTTTGTTTTTGCTTGAAAATACTTTAAACGGTTTAATTTCTAATTCTACTAGTTTTATCTCAACCCTAAACTACCCACAACATTTTGTGTTTAGGAATAGAAGCTACATTGCACTACATACGACTCTAAATCAGTTTCAGTACTCCTTATTGTAGACTCATACATTTTTTCAAACGATATTTACCCATTTGTTGTTTCAGTCGTGGCGATGTGTAATGTGTATCTTCAAAATCTCCCCCAGCTTTGTTGAAATCTGGTGACTGTAGAAAACCGTTGCATGTCATTCACATGGTTTTCATTTTTATTCAGTAAATCTTTGTTCACTGCATGAAAAAAATCAGCATTTCTTATGAGTTTTAGTTTTGTATGTGTTCCAAATGTATCGAAAAGAAGTCAACAGAGTAAAACTGAGGGAAAATCCTCTAAACATATCAACCAGTTGGATAACAGAAAAAAAACAACAACATGTAATTAACCTTAATGTTTTGTTTTGCTCTAGTGTTTTTGTCAGTGTTTTACATCTTTGATGAACAAGCCTTACTTATATGAACAGTTTGAATCCTTCCTGTCTGTGCCCAGAACAAAGGCTCCCTTCAGTTTGAGGATAAATGGGACCTGATGCGTCCCATCGTACTGAAGCTCCTGCGGCAGGAGTCTGTCACCAAACAACAGTGGTTTGACCTGTTCTCGTAAGTTTTTCTGGTTCTGCACCTGTGCTTTCGGCTTGATACTTGGCTGCTGGATGCGAATGGGAAACATTGTGTCTTCTCTTTGTTCCTACAGAGACGTCCACGCTGTTTGTCTGTGGGACGACAAAGGTCCAGCCAAGATCCACCAGGCCCTTAAAGAGGACATCCTCGATTTCATCAAACAAGCACAAGCAGTAAGACACACACATTCCCCCATTAGTCCACTCCATTTATATCCTGTGTTCTATTAAATGCTGGAAAGATAAATCTGCTCCTTTATGCTCTTACACGGTTGAGTCACATCATAAGAAACTTACAGCAACACCCAGGCAAGTGTGTGAAGTTGTTGCTTTCATGAACAGGAACGTGTGACATAGTTAACAGGCCAGCTAGCTTGTAAACAGTAAGTGTGGCTGCTGTTGGAAGAGAAGAGTAAAAACTTTAATGGACAGTTTGCTGTACAGTCAGTAGTCCAACACAAATACATACAACACATAATACACAAACACCACAGCCACATCTCTCACTCTGTCAGCATGAATGATGGGAAGAAGAAAAAAGAACTGCAATGATGTGAAGTTGTATTTTTTATTTAATTTTTTTTTAACCCTCTCCAGCCTGGAGGTTCTTATGC